GAGAATCAAACTTATTGATAGACTTTTAATAGCAACCACTATTCTAGGGACAAGAAGTTTCCATCAGTTTATACCTTCTTCTTAATTAATTATAAAAATGAAAAGGGTATCTGATGATGATGATTTTGCTCTAACATTTGACTTCAATAAAGAAATTAATAAAATTGACAATGTTATGATGTCACAATACCTATTTTGCAAATACAATGATTTTTACTGGCTTGGTATGCAGGCTTTCTCAGGAGACGTGTGCAGTTGCACGCCTTGAATGACCACGCAAATACTTTTTTTTTGTTGATAGCTCGGCCACGTTATTTTTTTTGCATATATTAAAAATGGCGCATTTTAAAAACTCATTGAAAAACAAAACTAATTTATTATATTATTTTGTTTTTTTTATTAATACTTTACTTTTATAGTTATTAATGAGAAAATAAAAAAATAAAAATAATATATATATATATATATATATATATATATATATATATATATATATATATATATATATATATATATATATATATATATATATATATATATATTAAATTGGTATAGAATTCTATACCAATTTAAAACATATATAAAAATTTATTAGAGTTGCCAGCTAAGGAAAATAACCTTGTTTTTTTGATACTGTATATTTTAGTTACGTTAAATCACTTACATTACCATATAATTTTTTTAATATTATTAGTTGGATTTATGTAACAAAAGAATTGCACAAGTATTGAATTCATTCATTAAAAATAATTAAAAAAGAAAATTTTTAAAAACTGGTGGCACTCTTCCTGAGTGATTTTTCCAAACATTCCTGAAAGTTAGCAAATCAAAAATAATTTTTCTGCAAGACCAAGAGCAACTTAAAAAAAATATTTCAGTATTACAACTTTAATAATACTTAATTGAATCATTTAAATAAGAAAATCTTTGGTTTGTTGAAGTTTTTACTTACACTTTACGTTTAAGCGTATTGCCTTATTTTCATTAGGTTAAATTTTTAAAATGCTACAAAGTATTTACATTTAAATGTAAATACTTTGTAGCATTTTAAAACAAACCAAACAAACAATTTTTTTTACTAAAAAAAAATAAAAAAGGTTCTAATTGATTTTATTTTATATTAGGAAAAAGACAAATAAATCTTTTATTTTTTAAATAAAAGATTTATTTGTCTAAATAAAAATATTTTTATACTTCTTATTTTTATTTATTTATTTACATTTATATGTCAACCAAAATAAGAATACATAAACAAATGAAAAAACAATAATACAAATAATTTTAATTAATATATAAAAAAAAAGCATTCTTTTTTTAAATTCTTCCAATATAAAAAGTTTCATTAATAACCTTTTCAAACCAAAACGACAAAATAACTATTAATGACATTATTCATTTTCAAAAACTCAGCGAAAAAGCACCAAAAAAAAAAATTTTTAAATTAATGAATATATATATATATATATATATATATATATATATATATATATATATATATATATATATATATATATATATATATATATATATTATTTTTATGTTTTTATTTTCTAATTAATAGTTATAAAAATTAATTATTAATAAGAAAAATACAATAATATAAATTAGTTTGGTTTTTTCAGGGCGTTTTTTAAGATGCGTCATTTTTAATATATGCAAAAAAATTGTGGCCAAGTTATCAACAATAAAAAAATATATGCGTGGTCATTCAAGGCGTGTGATCACACGTATTTTTTGCATATATTAAAAATGACGCATCTTAAAAAATGCGCTGAAAAAACCAAATTAATTTATATTATTGTATTTTTCTTATTAATAATTAATTTTTGTAACTATTAATGAGAAAATAAAAACATAAAAATAGTGTATATATATATATATATATATATGAGAAAGCCTGGTATAGTTTCTGAAGTTGATAAAGAAAATGATTATTTTATGGTAAAGTTTATGCATCCACATTATCCAAGTCAGTCGTACTACTGGCCAAAGCGAGATGATAACTGTTGGGTGCCAAGAATGATTGTCATTTCTCTTGTTAAAACGCCGTCAACATCTGACGGCGTTTTAACCACATCTCAAAAGAAGATGAAACTCTATTTGAACAGCTTTTATCCTGTCAGTGAAAGTTGATGAATATTTTACTTTATTTAAATGATACAAATTTCAATTTTATTGGTTATTCCTTTTTCTTATTGAGCTTTTTTCAATAAGGCAGATTTTTTACTATTTTGCAAAAAAGTTTGCATTTTATTTTTTTATTTTTCAACACAACATTTGAGCATGCAACCAATATTTTGAAACAATACCTAATTATTAGACATTAAGTAATGTTAAGTTAAACTATTATAATTAATATAGAAAATATATTTTCAATGTGTTGTATAGCAAATTATATTTCCATGTATACTTTTGTTATTTTTCCATGTATACAGTTATATTTCCATGTATACTTTTGAAAATGTTGATTATTAATATACAAGTTATGCAAAGCAATATATATTTTTTTGTTTTTCTTTCAGAGACCTATTTCTTTTTAAGACCTCTTATTTCACAATAAAAGTAAGGCAACTCCAGAAATAAGTGAAATGTAAATCATGGTTACGAAACAAAAAATTTGACTGTTGGTATTTTAAAATTAAAAAATTATTCTCAAATATTAAGAATTAGGTTAATTTCTCTTCATCATTGTATTCAATATCTTTAAAATTAGTCAGATACCAATTTTCAATCCTATTTCTTTATTAGAACTGAAATTATTCACACAAAAAGTATTGCTATAAATTCTATAATGGAGAATAAAGGCTTCAAAAAGATTTTTTTTGTCTAAATTTCAAAATGACGTATCTTTATAATGCTCTAAGAAAACCAAAACTATCTTTTTTATAAAGATAGCCTAGGATCACCTACTTCATTTGAAAAAAAAAATGAATCCATGAGACTTGGGCATTCTTGGAAGTTAATGAAAGCGCAGCCCTTGGTAAAAGAACAAAAAATTTGACTAACCATTTTAAAATCAAAAAATAACCATCAAAAAAGTTAAATTTCACTATTTTATTTACATTTTTGAATTCAGCTCAAAAATGGTCAGGTACTTATTTTCAGCCACATTATTCTTCTAGATCTTAAATTATTTATTAAATAAGTACATCTACAAAATCCATAATGGTACATATGTTTATGATATTTTTGATTTGCAAGTATGTGAGTAAAAAACAGCCATACATCTAAAATAATGATTTTAACAGAATTTTGATTGTATAATTTAAAACTATCTGATTTGAAAAAAGTTTATTTTTTTAATGTTGTTTAATAAACTAAAGTAAGTTGTTTAATTAACTAAAATCCAACAGTTAAAAAAAAACATCCTATCATAACATTACATCAATAAAAAAGAAATTTGCCACCTTTTGAAATCATTGTTTTATTTAATTTTTGGTAATTCTGAAATTTTAATAGCGAGTTGTTATATTGAATACGAGCTATTATTATAATAAGTAACAAAAAAGCATGTTGTCATTTCATTAGTATAGAATTATTTTTAAATATAAAAAGTATACTTTTTTGGCCATCTAGAGCATATGAGTGTTGGGTTCCAATTATCTCTAATTATTATATAATGAACATAATTTGCATCATTGACGCACCTGTAACAACAACTAGATGTATCTATACTTTGACTGTTGACACATATAAGCAAATCTTAACACAATCTTGACGTTTTATATTTTTGTATTTTGTAAATAATTAAATGAAATACAAAAAGTTCAAACCAATAAAATTTAGACAATATTTAAAAGATATCTTTACTTTATTGACTTTATTTTATTGAAAATGCACAATACAAAAATTTATTTAATTGAAAATCCAAAATAACAAAACGGACCCTCTTGTTGTCTGCCCTGGAAACAATTTCAACAGGGGTTAATCAGGACTACACAAATGCTGAAGGTTTCTCCAGTTTGTCTGGAAAGTAGTGAAAAATCTATCACAAGATTCCACTACAAAAAAGTGGGGCACTTGCCCCAATACCCCTTAATATCTTTAGGCCCTGAAAACAATTTCAACATGCACATTCATTGGCACTATAGAAATACCAAATTTTTCAGAGCTCCAGCTAGTCTGGAAGGTAGTAAAGAATCAAATGCAATATTCCGCTACAAAAAAGTGGGGACCATGCCCCATTATCCATATATGAAAATCTTGCAGATCAAAATCCTTATTTTTTTTTGAAAGATCAATAAATATAGAATGACTTGTAATTTTTTTTTTGATATCATTAAGGCCACATGAATGTCAAAATAACTTTTATTTTATTTTTAGCTCCTTTTTATTTTAATTTCTTTAAGTTTATACGTTTTTTTATTAGTAAATAAATTTAATGAACTAAATTAAGAAAAATTCATTATTTTGTACCAATGGATAACAGTTTACAATCATTAGGTCATTGCATATTAATTATCATTAATTTGCGCGCACTTTGCATATGTGTGAAAAATTGTTTTGAAAAAATTAAAATTTTTAAATTCAATATACATCTAATAACTTATTAACTAGAATAAAAATTATTTAAAAATAAAGCTCTCTTATTTGACATATATCTTTTAAATTAGACGTTTGTCAATAAATAATGATATGAATATCAATGTTCATTTAAAAAAACAATTTGTCGCGCCCTGCAGAAGCTCAAAAAATGTAAAGAGACTTATGGACTATTTTTTGAAAAAAATTACGACTTTTAGATTAAAGGAACAATCAATTTTTAAATCCAGAATCTTTATGTGTAATGACGACAAGGACTCCAGGCTAATAAACAATAGGTTGCATTATCATAAACAATTGGTACCAAGTCAATCTCATAAATTTTTTTCTTATTGCAGATCATAAGTCACTTGGTATTTTTAGAGCTCCTGGACACCAGAGGCATGTATATGTGTAATTTTTTTATGTATAATTTGTGTACTTTATGCATTATAGCCATATCAATATATTTTTTAAAGGTTAAAAAAGCATTCTTTGCATTGGTTCATAATGGTAATTTTTTTTTTTTTTTGATTTTTTTAAATTAGTCTGTACAGTTTCTACAATATCACTGCACATGTCACTGCAATTATTCTACACTATGCATAATCTTTCTAAAATTCTCACAGTGCACAGTCTAAAATCTTTTAATAATGCATAATGCTTCTAAAATAAGTCTACACAGTGCATAATGCTACTCTAATGATTTCCAGGTATTCGATCAGCTCCTGTTTGGGATTCTGAGTTACAAGAGTTTGTAGGTTAGTTGGGTTTTTATTTATTTGCTTTATTAAAATTTTTTACTTTTTTTTAAATTTCTTTTTAAAATTAATATTTACATTGTGAATTTTTTTTAGGCATGTTAACTATCACAGATTTTATAACTATACTCATACAATATTACAAGTCGCCAATGGTAATCATTGTTAAATTGTTTGTATTTAATCTATCTAATTATGCATTTAAAGAAATTATTGTTAAAATTAAATTTGTGTAAATTTAAGAGATATGCTTGTAAGTTTTTTTTATCTAGAAAATAAGGCCAGGAGGTTGAATTAAGGCAACAGTACTAGTACTGATATATGGTATGTCAGAGTTGAATCAAGTTCTTCACATCTGGCAAGGTTTGCAATTGGACAAGAAAAACTGTAGAATGTTTGTTTGATTGTTTGCCTAGGAGCTTATGATCACAATAAAAAAATTTATGACATTTTCTTGAAATTAAATAATAACTGTTTAAAAAAATTGTTTATGAAAATAAAACAAAACAAATCAGTTTTTTGCCAAAAGTTTCTAAAAAGTTTTATGTTCAATGAAGAATATTTAACTAAATTTAATTGAAAAGCTTTGAATGCAACGCCTATTAATCAGCAGGGAGATAAAAATTTATTATTTTAATATTTTATCTGTTTGAATACGCATAAATTTTTATTTTATTCTGTCTTGGCTTACAACCCATTTTAAGTTGGCGTTTCAGAGCAAGATCAGAACGATTGGCAAAAAAGGTTGTAGAATAAGTTTTTGGGGTACAAAATTAGTTTTGTTAATTAAGTACAGAAAAAAGATTAAAAAAATCATTTCTGAATATTATTGAAGCTTTTTGGACCAGTTAAATAAAAAAATCCAGTTTAAAGAAGAAAACAAACAACAAAAAAACAAATTTTTTATTAGTACATGTTCACAAATGTTTGATGTTTAAATTGAACAAATTGAAGTGAGTATTATTTGAACCCCCATCATATTTATCAAGTTAGCTCCCTCTGGTTATTGTCTCTTCAAAAACATTTTTATGAAAAGACTTCAAAATTAATTAAAAAAAAATGTTAAAAAATTAAAAAATTAATTGAAAAAAAATTCTAATTTAAAGCATTTTTATTGAAAGACAAAGTTGTTTAGTTTTAACTAATATATATTAAAATGTTTAATTTAATGATAAAAGCAACTATATAAAAAAATTACATTGATCTATTGCTTCAGGCATTAGAAAGGCGTCATAAGAAAACAATTTTTTTAGACAAGAAGTCCAATTGAAAAAAAAAAATTGTACAACCTATTTTTAAAACTATTTTTAATAATGTATATAATGTAATAATAGGATTTTTAAAACTTATAATAATGTATGTAATGTAATAATATTTAAAAGTTTAACTAGGCCTAGTTTGCATAAAAGACATAAAAATTTAGTTGGTGCAGAAGCCCATCAATATGCTCATAATTATACTAAAATTAGAAAATCCTTGAAATGATGGCTTTTTGTAAGATTTATGAGTTTTTTTGATAAAAACTTTTTTAGGTAAAAATGTGGGAGCTAGAAGAACACAGAATAGAAACATGGAGAGGTGAATAAGTTAATGTAATTTTTTTATTAGAGTTTATTAAGTTGCATGATTACATTTGTAATTCTCTGAATTAATTTTACTTATGATGTTTTTTGCAGAGTTGTTTAAGGGAAGCCTTCAAAATTTTTTAATAAGAATTTCTCCAACTGAAAGGTAATATTTCTATAAGTAGAAAATTTTAGAACAATAAATGTATGTATGTATGTATGTATGTATGTATGTATGTATGTATGTATGTATGTATGTATGTATGTATGTATGTATGTCTGAAGTGTCTAGAATAGCCGCTAATATCAGGGCTTGAATTAAGCATATTGCAATTGCAAATCACGATTGCTTTTCACACCTTTGCAATTAGTTTTTTCTTAAAAAAATATTTTTGCAATTTTTTTTTTTATTTTATTAGTTTTTTTTTCTTTTCTAATTTAGCATTTTTTTTTAGCCATTCTTAAAGTAATGTTTTTGTCTAAGTTATTAGAGTTCATAAAGTACGTCACGCTAAATTTATCTTTTGAATAGATCTTTGCTTTTTGTGCAGAGATTCGTTCAACATAAAGCGCTTTTAAATTTAAATTACTTTAAATCTCTGCGTGGAAGCCAATATTATTTTAAAGTTATTTTTAGTTTGATTTACTGAATGGATAAAGTACATCACATTAAATTTACATTTAAACTAAATCAAAACAACCAGTTAAGTTACTACAGTAACTTACAGTTAGTATTAAATTACTATATACAACTGTTAAATTTACTTAATATACTCAATGACTTGCAAAAATTAGCTACATAAATGTTTCTATTTACATCTTATATGTTGTTAACACATCATATAAGCTTTTAACTAAAAATTGTTTTAACAAGAATTCGAATATATTATAAAAACGCCACACCATTTTTTAAATTTTATTTAAAGCAATATCAAGATCAAACTTTTTCTATAAGAACGCAAGTTGTTTTTAGGAATTTTTTTTAACAAGAAATTTATTTGAACAAATGAATTTTAGTCTTCTAAAATTCTCTTATTCAAATAATTTTGTGATTGAAATTTGAAATTGAAAAAAAAGTAAAAAAGAATTTTAATGCTCAATAATTATAAATTTAGTTCAGTCGCATCTGTAATACCCAGCATAGCGAGAATCGTTGCTGAAAGTTAAATGTTTATCTACAGTACGTTAAATATAAACAGAAAGTTAAGCGTTTAACTACAGTAACAATATCAGATTTAGAACATAGTGCAAGTGAGGAAGTAAGGTTTATTTAAATTGTAAACGTTTTGAATAGTTGATTGTATTTTGTTTCTTGAAAGTAGTTTTAAGAATAGAAACATTCTATTGCAAACATTAAGCCAGAGATTTCCAAATTTAAAATAAAAATTTCATTTAAAAAATTAGGCTCTCGTGACTTCTAGAGAATCTTCAACAGTATCAATAATAAGGACAAATCTGTTATTTCACCTCTATTGCATAGTTCTGATTTTGTCAACTTACCTAAAGACAAAGCTGAATTGTTTGCTAAGAACTTTTCATCTCTTTATTCCTCTAGTTGTGTTCTATCTGATATAGCCAACGAACAGGTTGATCCATTGCTTGAAATTTGTATAAATCCAGTTTTTTATTTTTAAATTGATTTCCTGCTTAGACTCTTCTACAACATTTGGTTCAGACAACATACCTGTTATAGTCTTGCAGAAGTGTTCTCTGGCTGTCTTCTATACTTTCAAAACTATTTAACAAATGCTTACTGGAGTCTTGTTTTCTGGCCTGCTGGAAAGCAGCATCTGTTATCCTTATTTTTAAAAATTCTGGAGAGAGATCGGACTTTTCTAACTACTGTCCCATTAGTCTTCTTCCTATCATAAGCAAGATTTTTGAGTCTTAAATTAACAAACACTTGATCTCTCATCTTGAATCTATTAACTTATTTTCTGATCACCATTATAAGTTTTGATCTCATTTTACAACTGATATATATATATATATATATATATATATATATATATATATATATATATATATATATATATATATATATATATATATATATTGATACGCAAATAGAACTTGTCAATACCATCACCTTTTTAGTTATTGTAGGTTCACTTGCCTATCTTGCTTGTTAATATGACTTAATCAGTAGGGTAGATCATTAAAAAAAATTTGATTTTGGATAGTGATGATTTGTTGCTTCTGAATAATATGAAGTAGATTGGAAAAATATATTTTGACTTTTTTAGTGTCTTCCTTTGCTGCCCAGGGCCTTAAATCACCATATTTGTATATTTTCATACCTTTTATCATTATTTTATTACTTAGTAATTTGGTTATAAAATTTAACTTTAATTAAAATTTTTGCTCGTGAACAATATAAGTTAAATAGGAAAAAAAACCTAACGTCTTCATTTGTTGCTAAAAGACATTATTTTACCTTATTTGTGCGTTTTAAGGCTTTTTTCATTGTTATTACTTAGTAGTTTTTGTTCTAAAATTATTAAAATGTGATAAATTGTTACCATTGGATGATATAACAAAAATAGAATAATAATCAGGTTTTTTCTGGCTTTCTTTTTCCTTGGGGGGGGGGGGGTTATTATGCATTTTCAGGCTTTTTATTGGTATTTAGCTATTGGTATTTGATCATAATTTTTTCAATGTTTTCCGAAATAAAACTATAGCTGAATTTATAATTCACTTTCTAATTTCAGTGATTTAAAATAGCACTTTTTTAAATTATTATTATTTAGTTATTTTAGGCATATTTATGCTTTTCTTATAGTTTTATAATTACTCAGTAATTTACTATTTATTATTATATTAAGTTTGGTAATTCTAACTAACACCTTTTTAAAATTAATGTTATTTATTTTAAAAATATTGTAGAAAAGTTTACTATTTATTAATATATAAAGATTAGTATACTATTAGTATGTAAAGATTGTTGTATCATTAATATTATAAAGATTGCCAATAGTCACATATATATCAAATAATCCATCTGTATATGATTTATTGAATTTAAATCTATTTCTAGAATTTAGTTTTGCAATAAAACTAAGTTTATATTTATAAAATATTTTGATTTCTGTGGCTGTTACAAGACTAAACCTTATTTGTACAGTTTACGGCATCAAATGTGAACTTACTAACTTTACTCACAAACTTTCAACTGTTAAGGAAGTCATGCAGCACTATTCTTTTGTTAAATTACAACTTCCTTGGACTACCACGTCAAGCACAATAGTTTCTGAAAATGTTACCAACATTTAGTTGAAATCTGGCATTTCAACTGCTACAATGCAAAGAGTGCAGCAGAGAGTAGAATCTTTGCACAATAACTTGAGAATGATGAGACAGAAATACTATAATTTTTTTTTATGTCTAGTTAAACCAGTTTGGAAGCATCAGTTAGTATCACTTCTGATATACAGTACTGGACAAAAGTCTGAGACCAAGGGTTGAAAAAGACTAAAAACTGATTTTAACCATAAAATTTTATTCAATGAACAACCATGTCCATTTTTTCCAATATAATTCATACTAGTAATTCAACATAATTCAGAACACAACAATTTATTGTCAGCATCACTGATGATGTGAGGAAAACTGATGAGTAATACAATTGTCATATAAGTAGTATGTTGCACGCATAACTTCTTTGAACTTTATATGAACCATGCACTATATTATTCGGTTTTGCGTTGATAATTGCGTTAGTTTATTACTGCGTGATGGCAAATTATAGATTACGTAATAGTTTATAGCAGATAATAAACATGAAAGTGTCCTAGGATTGATGCATATTAGCGCTGTTGTGGTATTATGTTGTTATATACATGCATTACATACATACATACTATATTGCATATTTATATAGTTATTGTTTAATGAATCTGGCATTTGCTGTTTGTGCTTCAAATTCTCATTTTTGGTTTTAGAATTAATTTTCTTTCACTGAAATGTGTGAGTTACAAATATCAGTTCGAGCACAGATCAGTATTTTAAAAGAGGAGGGATACACCGAGAGAAGCATTGCTGAACGTTTGTCTGTTTCTAAAACTGCAGTTCATAACACAATAACTCGATTGCAGCAGACTGGCAGCTTAACTTCCCGAAAAAGATCTGGTAGACCAAAATGTACCTCTATGCAGACTGACCCCTTAATTCATCGCACTTGTACTAATTCTCCAATGTCATCATCCACAGTAATACAACACAACTTGCCATCCTCTGTTACTGTTTCCTCCAGAACTATCAGACGAAGACTATCCTCTGATTTCAACCTGCATGCCTGGCGTCCTTCCATTAAACCTAGGCTTTCTGTCAAGAACATCAAGGATTTGATTGCCTTTTGTCAAAAGCACAAAGACTGGACAGCATTGGATTGGGCGCGAGTAATGTTTTAAGATGAAAGTCAAATAAAGCAGTTTGCTCCTCTTCATTCTTTTGTTTATAGACCTGTTAATCAGCGACTGAATCCCAAGTACACCAAATGCAATGTTAAACAGTGCCAATCAATCATGGTCTGGGCTTCAATTTCAACCAGAGGACAAGCAGGTATTTGGTTCATGCCTCCTAAAACAACCATTAATGCCAATGAATATCTGAAAATTTTGAAAAGCAATTTGCTTCAGTGGCTGCCTCTTTCTGGTTGTATAATCTTCCAGCATGATGGTGCACCATGTCACCGGGCAAAGGTGATTACTAAATGGCTTGCTGAGAAAAGAATTAGTACTTTCTCCTTGGCCGGGATCCTGGCCTGACTTAAATCCAATAGAGAATTGCTGGCATCTGTTAAAGAAAAAGGTATCCGCTTTAAAGCCATCATCATATGATGATTTGAAAAAAAAGATGGTCCAATGAAATCACTCCTGCTTATTGTGAAAATTTGATCAATTCTATGCCCAGGAGAATAACTGCTGTGCTAGCGGCTAAAAGAATGCCCATAAAATACTGACATGACATGGACATTTTGTGTTTTATTTCACAAAGTATGTTGTACTTATTCCTAGTAATATGAATTATATTGGAAAAAATTGACATGGTTGTTCATTGAATAAAATTTTATGGTTAAAATCAGTTTTTAGCCTTTTTCAACCCTTGGTCTCAGACTTTTGTCCAGTACTGTAGATGCAGAAATTAATTCTGGTGAGAAGGAGTGAGGATGTTGTAAGAGCTGTAATTGCTACTGCAACACTTTCAGATTACGGAATTATAAAAAAATATGACAGAAAGCATAGACCAAACCAAGTTAAGGAATCAAAGACAATTGCTTAGAACTACATTATCACACAAAGCAAAGTTAGCTATGTGTTCAGCAGGCCCAAAATCAATTTTCTTTGATGGGAGAAAAGATAAAACTCTTTGTGCATTAACAACTAACAGTAAAGACATAATCACTGAGAAACATATCACATTAATTAAAGAACCTCATTCCATTTTTCTTGGTTATGTTTCTCCATCAAGTGCATCAACAAATATCAAGAATGCTATTTTAGATTTTTTTTATGGAAACAAAATATCACTTGATAATGTGTTAGCTATTGGCGCTGATGGAGCTAATGTAAATACTAGTGTGAACAATGGTGAATAAGAAAAGCATTTGGGATATCCAGTTCAATGGTTAGTGTGTATGTTCCATTTTAATGAACTGTTATTTAGAAATTTAGTATTGCGTTTAGGTGGCACCCCTTTAGGATCTACTGCTTTTAGCAGCAACATTGGGAAAGCACTTGCAAATTTTCACGAGTTGCAAATTGTCAAATTTAATATCAGACAAAATAACTTACCAAACATTCTACATGAAATTGTGACAAATAATATTAGCAAAGATCAACAGTATCTTTATAACATGTGCAAGGCAATAAAAATAATTAATGATTTCATTGAAAATACAATACAAAAGGTGGCTCTTAAAACAACATTTTTGAAAAAAACCTGCTCTTACCCCTTTATTTTGTTCTATATAATACTAAAACACTAGGTTTAAAATTTTTTTAACAAAAAAATATTTATAGGCGTAGCCCAAGACCCTTAAAAATTTGATGGGTCCTTAATATTTTGAAAAAAAGAGTTCTTCTATAGTATGTGAACCTGGTACTCAAAAGAAACAAAATTATATAAAAACTTTAAATATAATAATCAATTTTCATAAAAAACATGTTTAAAAAAATTATTTTCAAAAAACTTAAAAATAGTGACTTTCTTTATTTTCAGCCTAAAAACAATAGTTTTTATGCATTTATATCTGGAAAAATTATTTTTATAAAATATGATTTTCATTTTTGAATTTATATAATATACAATTTGTACCTTTTTGTTATTTATTATTTTTAATATAGCATTTACACAGCTGTCAAAATGCTGGTTTTTAATAAGATACATCGTTTGCCAGTTATTGATCCAGACACAGGGAATGCTTTGTTTATATTAACTCATAAGAAAGTTTTGCGTTTTATTTACAATCATGTAATGTTTATTTCTTTAATTCTTTTTTTCTTTGTTTTACTTACTATTTTATTTAATTAGTGTCTATAAGTGTCTGCAGTTTATTTTATCTAGCTGTTTTGTTCTTATTGTATTGTTCTTATTATTTACAAATTTATTGTTAATGCTTTTGTTATAACTTGTATACAGCTAAAATTATTATGGATTTTAAGTATCTTGTATACAGTATTTCTACATGTTAGTATTTGTATACAGTAAAATTATTTTTTTCAGAGTTTTAATTCTTTTGCTTTATTTTCATGAATAAGTCATAAAAAACATATTTTATATCTCTTTCAAATAGTCCCTCAAACATTTCAGTACCACCATTAGCCAACTTTAGGGCTCTAACAAGGTTAGGCATAGACAAAATCAAACTTCGACAAAGTTATTTAATTTTTTCGCAATTGTGGACTCATAAGAAAAGACCATCTGAAAGAGAAGTGATCCTTTAACCAAAAACTGAATATTCAACACTTGTGATATGTATAATTTTTTTATTTATTTGTCATATTGTGTATAATTTTACATTTCAGTCAAAATCATGCCAGTAAATTGTTCAGAAATTACTGTTAAAAGGGTGTCAGTATCCTTACCATGCTTAATTTTCTTCTGCTCCTTGGCCCACTCATATTGCTGTGCCTTCATGTGATTTATCAACCTGTGTTTTTCTCTCAGTCGATATGCCTTCAGTCCATTATCTAAAATGCTGTTCTCAGTCTGACAACTTAAAATTATACCTTCATCAGCTAATTCCATCACAATTTTCTTACCGGAGGTTGTTTTGTTATTTTAGGCCATATTTGTCTTTTGGTCAAGTTTGTATGTATTCTTGATTGTACAGAAACATTAAGTTTTTCATCAATATCCTTCTGCTTCAGTCCACTATTTTCAAGCAAAACTGTTATTTGGTCTGAACCCAGTTACAAATATCTTTCCATCTGATGTTTCCCTGTTTGGGGACTAGTCACTTTAGAAACCACTTTTGACCTTAAAATCGAAAGACAAGCCTTATGTAATTGATCCACAGGATGGTATATGAATTTTACTTAATGATAATTCAATAAATAATTAGAAAGATAATTTTATCTTTCTAAAATTTGATTCTTTCAAATGAAATTGTAGAAATTCATAATAATTTTAGCAGTACTATAGTTTTTATAGTTAACTTGTTTGTCGCATATACTTATAGATATAATTGTGTAATGGCGGATTCTTTATTTTTTTTTCCGAATTTTATTTCAGATAGATGATCTTGCAATGCCAGACTTTTTAGGATCTTCTTTACAAGAGCTTGGTATAGGATCTTACAATGTCATAAAAGTAAGTTGTTGTTTAGGTGACTAGTTCACCAGATGATATTTAGTTATGTCAGGTGACTGGTTGCTTGTTTGTCAGTTGCTATATAGTCTTTTGCTGTTGTTATTTTTGTTATTGCTATGGTGAATAATGTCAAAAAGTAAAGTTCAAAAGACTATAATTTCTCTTGACAAATTAAATGAAAAATAAGAAGGTATTTGTAGGTTGCTATATATTTATTGTTGCACATGTGTGTCTTTGTGCTTTTATATTATATAGCAACACTTTATTTGTTTTGTGTGTGTTTTATTTTGTTGCTGCTGCTTTTATATTTGTTTTGTATATTTTTATGCTATAAGATTTAATAGTGTGTTTTCCTTCTTGTTACAGATACACCTTTGGTCAACAGTTCTTTAAATGTTTTTTCTCCTTGTTACAGATACATCCATGGACAACAGTTATTGAGGCTCTTCATATTTTTCACCAGAAACGTGTTTCAGCACTTCCAATTGTGGATGAAAAAAATCATTGTGTTGATATTTACTCCAAATTCGATGTTATTGTAAGTAATATTTATCAATCTCATTTCACTTGCCAAATTAAATGTCAGCATCATTGTTGAAAAAAATGTTTGCCACAACTTTTTACTTATATTTGAAGTTTAAATTTAGACAATTTGGCAACTATTTTTTGTGCTATATTAGCCATATGTGCCATATATATATATATATATATATATATATATATATATATATATATATATATATATATATATATATATATATATATATATATTAGGGTGTCCCAGCCGCCCCTTATATTCTAAAAAAGATCTGTTCATATTCTTAAAACTTTCTATTGGTTCTCACAAGCAATTCTGTTAAATTTTTTCAAAATTTTATTGGATTTAGGGGGAGCACAAGACCCTTGAACACTTACCAGGTCCCTATTAATATTAAAAAAATTTTTTCTCAAAAGTATGTCATGTTGGGTCTCAAAAGAAGCGAAATTATATAAAAATTTTAAAAATAACAATTATTTAAAAAAAATTATTATTCAATTTTCTTTTTGGAATAATTATCGGAAAAATACACTTTTTTCATTTTTAGGTTAAAAAAGGTCATTTCTCTGCAAAAAAACTCTAAAATAATAATTTCTTTATAAAATGATTGTTGCTTGTGAGAACCAATAGAAAGTTTTAAGAATATGAACAGATCTTTTTTAGAATATAAGGGGCGGCTGGGACACCCTAATATATATATATATATATATATATATATATATATATATATATATATATATATATATATATATATATATATATATATATATATATATATATATATATTAACCCTCCGAAATCAACCATCAGGAAAACTGAGGATAGCAATTTTTTGCTGACCTTAAATTATTGAAGGTTGGTTAAAGGTCGGCAAATAAATTTGACACAAAGGTTTTACCATAAAACATAAAAGATTGCCATTTTCGCTGAACTCAAACAATTTTAGGTTGGCTTTGCTAAATACCCACCTTAATTTGAGGGCTAATATATATATATATATATATATATATATATATATATATATATATATATATATATATATATATATATATATATATATATATTTATATATATAATAGTTTAGCTCTTAAAGCAAATAAAGTTTAATATAATTTTTATATTTAGTGAATATTTTAAACATAATCAAGTAGTCAATTTTTATGTTATATTAATTATTTATTATATTTATCTTATAAGTAATAGGGATTAAAAAACAATAGTATTTCAATTTTTTTTTTATCCATTTAAAATCAATTTTATAGATTTAACTTTTTTTATAAATGTAATGTATTTAATTTTTAATAGTTTTTTTAAAGTAAACATTAAATTATTTGTAAACATTAAATGTTTGTTTGAATAGGTTTTAAGTTGATTATATTGGTTATACAAAAATGTCATATTGATAAATCAGAGATTTAATAATATTACCAAAATTACCAGATTATATAATATTACCAAAAGCAAATAATAGTAACAATTAAAAATTAAATAAACTCAATGAAATTTAGAATTTAGCTGCTGAGCGTACTTATAACAATCTTGATGTCACTGTACAAGAAGCTTTAGAGCACCGTCAAGAAGGTTTCGAAGGAGTTCATAAGTGTTTACCAACAGAAAGTCTTTATGTTATCATTGATAGAATTGCAAATGCTCAGGTGAGTTTATTGTTTTGTTGATTCGGTTTTATTAAATAATAACTTGTGTTTTATGTAATTTTGCAAAAAATTTATTTCAAAATGTTGAGTTTTTCTCATAATTTTATAAATACACTTCTAAAAACACATTCACTGAAACTTGTGTTAATCATTTTAAATTACTAAAATGTTTGTAAAAATAATTCAAGTTTATCGTTAAAACCATGAAAGTTCATGTATAAATATAAAAAATGCAGTAACAAGCAAAATATAAAAAATGCAGTAACAAGCAAAAACAGTGATGTATCAGTAATAGCTTTTTATTTTATTTTTAAAGATATTTAAATCAATTACAGAAAGGTTTTTTTCTATTTTTCAATTTTTTGAAACCTATATTTCGTAATTATCAAATTACTTTGGTACTATTGACTATATAATTTAATAACTTGCTAACTTTAATAATAAAGTTATAGTAATATAAAATTTATAAGTTTAGAAAAAATAAGTTAGTTTTCATTGTTCAAAAGTATTTGAAGTTTTTCATTTTATTTGATTTAAAGAGATCCCAAACCTCTGAGACATGTTGTGATCATATTAAAGAGAGTGATTAAAAATTGTTTGGGCTAAATTTTTTTGATTAAAACAAAAGAATAAATGCACACCAAGAAAAAATAACTATTTGTTTTAGTTAAAGCTCACCTTCTCTGTTTTGTTGTAGGCCAAATAGTCTTCACTATATATGCCGCAATCTTCAGACTTGATGATTTATTCAAGCGCATTTTATTCCTTAGAGTTTTAGTACATGATATCAATCTTTAAAACAAACAAAAAAATCAATAGGATCCTTTTAAAGATTATAGCTAATAAAATGAAGGTTTGTTAACATTTATATATGGTATGGCGGGGTGAATTCCTCACGGAGCGAATCTGTCACTTATGCGACTCAGCTTTAAAATAATAATACATAAAAACTAAGAAATCTATTTACTAGGTTTTTTCGAAACTTTTTAAACTGATATTTGTAGAATATTATTAAATAAATGTTTTATATATTTACCTTCAATTATTCTTTGAATATTGCAAGTAAATATTAACGTTGAACTAATATTTTTCTGCCTAAATACCTATTGTCGAAAAATAATCAAAATGTGCAATGTTTTGACCCCAAAGTATATATTTTTTGATTGATCAATGTCATTATTTTTTAATACTGAATTATTTTGATATAAAGGACGGTCTGCACTGCAAAAAATTAATTCTTTTTGTACACTGTAAAAAATAAATTCTTGTTTTGAGCAAATAAAACTTATTTTAAGCAATTTTTTACTAAGCAATAATTTTTTTACCAAGCAATGTTTTTTTTAAAATTTATTTTTTTAACTTTTTTTAAAAACTGACAAGAAAAATTGCTTGTTTTATGTAAAAATTTGCATAAAACAAGTTTTTTTTTGCTTCAATTAGGAATTTATTTTTTGCAGGGTGCACACGATATTAGGAATAATTTCTGCAACAAGCAAAAAAATATTGTTTCAAAAATATTGTATTTTTAAAATAACAATTTAAATTACTTTATTATTGCCTTTGGAATCGTCATGTAATGATATGCTCAAGTGAGGGGCAACTTCATTTTTAAAGAAAAAATAATGCTGAAAATAAATTAGGTTGTTTCATCACACAAGTTTTTAAACTACCGAGTGCCGTTTAAAAGAAAATCAAATTGTGCTCAAAATGTACTTCAAATCTTTAGATTTTATTTAAAAAAAGATAGGCTTTTCAGAATACATTAATTTATAGTTAGCTTTTAAAACTTTTTGAAGTTTTAATTATAAATGTGACTTTGATGTGAAATTTTTAAACAAACTTATTATAATGTATAGTTTAAAATGTATATATAGTATATGATAAGTATATAAGATATATATATTATATATTTTTTATATATATTTAAAATGAGTGTATAAATCTTAATTATTGTTAAAATATTATTGAAATTTTGTTAAGTTTTATTAGAATAGTTAATATTATTTACTATTTTTACATTAAAGTAAGATTTATATTATATATTATATAGCAAAAATCTTATTCTAATTTTAAAAATATATATTATACTTTTTACTATAAATAATATATAGCAAAAAGTAAATAGTAAGTATATAGTATAAAATGTGTGTATACTATAAAATATTTATTTTTTGTTGTAGTATTTATTATAAACAAATGTATCCTTTGTAGGAAAATATAGAGCATTTATTTTATATATATATATATATATATATATATATATATATATATATATATATATATATATATATATATATATATATATATATATATATATATATTTACATACATATCAGAAGTATTTAATGAGAATTTAACGATTTACAAGCTTTTTATGAACAGTTCGATATCAAATATTATCCAAATATGATTTGTAATTGTGATGAAACTGGCCTTTCATCTGTGCCAAGTGTCTCTGCTAAGGTAATAACATTAAAGGGTTCTCGTGAGGTACAAAAGTTAACTATTGGTGCTACAACCATTTTTCATATTTAAGGGTAAAAAGGTTCCAGATGCATCTAAATTTCCTTTGGGTACAAAAGTACATTGATTTGGGTATAAAAGTACATAGCAGTAAAAGCTATTGATCTAGAGATTTTTATTGACATTTTACATCATTTTAATGAGTTTCATACAAAAGTGAATAGGAAAAAAGTAATTTTATTTTTAGATGGCCGCAAAAGTCATGTGACTATTGAAGCAATTGAATTAGCAGTAGAGATGAATATTCAAATAATATGCATTCCACCGCATAGTACACATCGCCTTCAACCACTTGACACACATGTTAACAAAGTAGTTAAACATATGTGGTTTGAGGCCTTATCTAATTATTTAGCTGAAAATAATGGTATTTCTTTGCCTCGTTTCAACTTTCACATTATTTTTAACAAAATATGGCCCAACATACTTACAAAAAGAGGATTGGTTGTTAATGTGTTTTACCATTGTTTGCATCCCCTAAGAATCCCAGTGAAAAACTTCGAATATAAAAAAACAGAGGTTTTTAACAAAACAACAATTCATCAAAGAAACCCAAATTTATCTATTTTAAGAACTGTTGTACTTTCTCTTTTGCCTTTACCGCGAGTAAGGAATTTCATCTGTTGCCCAAGTGACATGTTTTTCAATTAGTTTAGTTGTACTGGCGAATTTGCCCTGTAATTGACGAATTCAACCCTCATGACTTGATAATGAAAAAATCAAGTTCTGTGCTAAATTAACTTCAGAATTTATTTTGATTCAATACATAAACAGTTGAATCAAAATAAATTCTGAAGTTAATTTAGCACTATTATAATTGTACTATAATCAAAGGCCAACTGGCTAATAATCCATATTTATGTTTAATTTGCTGTATATTGGATTATGGGATGTCTTGCGGGACCATATTATAAACAACATTAATTTATTATACACCTTGCTGTCTACTAAATATATTATAATATTATTGGTTTTCGCTCTTTAAGAACCAAGTTGCTTTTTCTATAAGTATTCATAGTATTAAATATGCCGGCCTTTTGCTCAGCCATCAGTTATGTAAACAAACGTGGAAATAATGTTGGAAATAATATATATTTTTTTAGATTTCCAAAGGATAAAGATCAGTAAGTAATTATTAATCAAATCAAATTTTTTAAATTAATATCAAGAATTTAAATAAGCTTTCAAAACACTGTTTTACTTTGAATTTTATGAAATAAAAAATATTTGTACATATCATGATGTAAACAATTCCACTAAATTAAGTTTAACCTATTATTTAGATTCAAACTCTGGGTTCCTCTTCATCAAGATCTTGATAAAAAATTATGCGAAGAACTTAATCTTAACTATACTATTTGTAGTGAACATTTTTATTCTTCCAAATCTTGACTATAATGGTGGTAAAAATCCAAATAATTCCAAATTCTTAATATTTTATTTTAAATCCAAATTCTTCCAAATACAATCTTGACTATAGTGGTGGTAAAACCTTGACTCTTGACTATAATGGCACTTGTAACTGCTGTACCAACATTTTTTAACATTTCAAATCAACCAACTTTGATAAATTTAAAGAGAAAACTGCCAACAGACTTCATTTACAAGATAAAATACAAAAAAAAAAAAAAGAAATCAACGATAAAGTTGAATTAAATGAAATAAATAATGTTGAAAAAAGTAGTAGAAATAACTTAGCTATCAAAACTACTTTTAAAAATTTATCATCTCAGATTAAGATTTGTTGACTTGAAAAAAAACTCAAGAACCTAAAACATCAAATGTTAAAAAAATGCGGTGGTTCAATAGAACATATTAATTTATCTAAAAAAATTTTAACAAACACCTACCTTTGATTTTTTGAATATCAATTATGTATGAATAATTGTGTTTAACAAGAAAAATGTTTAAAATTTTAGTTTTGTGAATCATGTATTGCAGCCCACAAACTTTTAAAATGTTTAGAAGAGTTACCTACTAGAAGCACTATTTTAATGTTTCTTGAAAAATCTTTTGGGACCCTAGAATCTGGTTTTTACCATAGAATAAGGTTATGACTTTATTAAAAATGTGAATAGACCATGAAAAAATTGGAACAAAACTGTAGTCTTGTTTTTGATGAAATGTCTTTAAAGCAACATTTTGATTATGATGAATACAATTACAAGATTATTGGAATTCAATCTAATAGCAGTTTTTGACCCCCTAGTAAACCAGTAAACCAAGTTCTTGTATTGGTCCGGGGGTTATTAACTAAATGGAAATAATCAATTGCATATTTTTACAGTAATACTTCCATGTCTTTAGCCAATTTAGCTTGGATAGTAAATAATGCTATGATTCATTTAAATATGTTTAGCTATAAGATGTCTTGTTTGTGATCAAAGCTCAAATAATATCAAAGCTGGAAATGTTTTGTCAACAGACTTCTTTATAAAAAATATGGATATATTATTTGACATCTTGAATTATTTGTC